AAAACACAAAAAAGAAAAAAAAAGAAAACACAAAATTTGACAAAAATAAAAAGAAACACAAAAATAAAATAAAATTGCCATGCGATCACCACGGCGTCATCATCACGCTCGGCATGTCATGGATCACGCTGGTCAACTCATCTGACTATTTTAGGAATGCAGAGAGATGGTGTGCGATCGATGCAACAACTGTCCAAAAACACATATTACTATTTTAGGAATGCAGACCCTGCAGCCTTCGCAGGCACTATGCAGACCCTGCAGCCTTCGCAGGCACTATGCAGACCCTGCAGCCTTCGCAGGCACTCTCATCCTCTCATGCAGAGATGGTACCTGCATCGGCAACTGACGAGCCTAGCTCCCGTCGGTAAGCCCCCATGAACTGATGAAATACAGACCCAAGTTCGAATCCACATGCAATCAAATAAACAGAGATGGCGCACTATATTTGCAGGCACTCTCATCCTTGCAGGCAAAGATGATACCTGCATGTGCAACGGACGAGCCTAGCTCCCGTCGCTACAACCCCATTAACCGATGAAATCCAGACCCAAGTTTGAATCCAGATGCAATCAGATGAACAGAGATAGTATGTGCATGGAGACTATATGTGAACAACCCCAAGGATCGTTTGACAGGGTTTCAGAATCAGAGAGCAGGAGGGCACGACTGAAACAGGGAGAAGTTGGGGGGGGGGGAGAGGGAAAGGAGGGAAGGAGGGAGAGGGAGTGGGGATGGGGGAGGCCAAAGCAGGGAGGAGGGATATGTGCCCAACCACAAGAATCGTTCCACATTGAATCCACAGGCTTTCACAATCAGAGAAGAGGCGGATACGACCACAAAAAAAAAAAAAAACCTGTAATAGGTAGGAGAAGGGCAAGACCAAACGTTTGACATGAAAAAAAAAAAGCAACAACAACAACAAGAACAACTGAAACAGGTAGGAGAAGGGCAAGATCAAAAAATTCGACCGGAACCGGGAAAGGGAGGGCGAGACAAAAGGAGACGGAAACAGGGAGGAGGAGGGCGAGGCAGAAACAGGTAGGAGGAGGGCGAGAGCGGCACAGCGAGGAGGGAGAAAGACGGGAACAGACCAGGGCATGACCACAGACATAAGTATGGAAGAGAGGCACAGAACGGACATGCCAGGGCATGGCGACACAAGATAAGAATAAGATAAAATAGTATTAAAAACTTTTGCAAAAAACGGTACGATTAACATTTCCAGAAGAAGAAGAAGAAGAAGAAGAAGAAGAAGAAGAAGAAGAAGAAGAAGAAGAAGAAAGAGAAAAGCAGTACTGACATAACATCACAGGAGCATCGCACATAAGGCCAAGAACGTAATAGAGAGGTCAGCAATAGGGGGATGAGATTAAAAAAGATTTCAGGACAAACATTGGACGCAGAATATACGCATGCAGAGTTGGCGATGAGAGAAAGCAGTGGGAGAGAAGAAAGAGACGCACCATAAAGATGGAAGAGAGGAAAGAAAACCTGTGCGCGAGGAGAGTTGCATGTACCGGAGATATAATACATGCAGGAGAGCAATACATAATATCTCCATGCAGGAGAGCAATACATACTTGAACCATCGGGGTGTCTACCGGGTCGTTAGGCCCCCTCCGATGTGAATGAATACAGACCTGCGCGGTGGGGAGATTCATCCACCTCTTTAACGCCTAAAAACGTGGTAGGTACGGGTGGTTTAACAACATATTTAACCTCATAACATGCAGTCAACACGTTGAGTCGTTGACCCCAGAACGGTCGGGTCCGACACCTCCAAGCCGCTCCGAAATGTGCGAACGTGCGAGTACAACTCGAAAGCACTTTGAATTTTGAAATGTGCCAGTGAAAAAAACAGTCCTAAAACTCCGCGTCGCTTTTTTTTTATATATATGATGGCAGTCCATCCATGGCACATCAGAGTCTACATCCAGTTCTTTTTTTTTTTTTTTTTCAGTTATAGTAGAGTCGAAGACAAGTTGACCACAGAACAGTCAGTCAAACAACTCCAAGCCGCTTTTTTTTTTTCTTTTCTTTTTTTTCTGTCTTTTCCATGGTCTACCATATGCACAGAAGTTCACGTACAATCTGTGTCTACCCTCTTCACCCGAATAGAACACCCGGTTATTATATCTGTATCTGATCTGAAAGTTGCAATAAATACGGATACAATGAGCGGGCAGAAGGTACTATTCGGGTGAATATGGTAGCACTCGGGGGCATACTCGGGCATTTATTCGCACAACACAAGGCCATTTTTGACTGATCTCTCGACGTAACGCCACACTACCCTTTCTATGCGAGGGCACACTACACCCTGTCATTCGTGCTGTATCTGGACTGAAAGATTGCACCAAATACGGGCATTGCTCCTGCATAGAAGATGACACCCATGGTGCAACTTTCAGTCCAGATACAGAACAGATACGCTGTCCTAAGGTCTACCCTCTTCCCCCGAATAAAACGTACCATGGTCTTTATCGCTACATCTAGCCTGAATGTTGTCCCACATACTGCTATAATAGAACGCCCGATCGCGACAATATATATGGATGAGCATGCAGAACTCACTTCTCAACGTCCAGAAGTGTGGATGCCCCGATAAATATTCTTCTTTTCCATTTTTCTGTCATTAACATACTGCTATCCTCCTCCTTTTTTTTTTGCCCTTTTTTGTAAACCACCAGTATCTTTGACGTTTCGGTGGTGGGCCTCGAAATTTGAATTCGGAGGGTGGGAGCGGCCCATGGAAAATATCAGCACCCCTCCTGCGCCAAAATTTTCGGAGTAGGTTGCTTATGAAAATTGGCGTCCAGTGACAAAGGTACTGGTCCTTTAACACACTGTTATCTCACCATGACTTTTTCGCCTGAACCTGGTCTCAGTTACACACAGCGATTCATTCGAGGAAGTCCTTGTGTGAGAATGTCCTTAAGAAAAAAAAAAAAAAAAAAAAAAAAAAAGGTAAAAAAAAGGCCGTTTTGCAGGTGTGGTCCCAAAGACTCCCGAGTCCCAACTCTCTCAAGACACGCCCTACGCAACAGTAAAAGACTTGCTAAAAGGTGAGACTTTACCCTCCGATAGATAGCCACGATAAACTACTTAAAACTTAAAAGTACTCAAGCCACCGGTCCCTTTCCCAGATATTTTGTACCAATGTGGCAGGTAACCTGCCACGTCCACAGGAGCTCGACCTACAGGAAGGCAAAGGCTGGCGGGACCACGCAAAAGTAATATATTCCTTGCTTGTGCCGGTCTCTCTTTCTTTGGCACGCAGCAGGACTCCTGAGTCAGGGAAAAGAGGCTTAGAGGTACTGCTGGTTTAAAAATACTCAAATACACTACTAAATACACTACTATTCTTATGTGCATGGAGCACTGATGCCCCAAAGTACCCCTGCACTGAGCTCATCTGTGAGTCGTCGACCAGTCGTACTATTTAAGACACAGGTACTCCCCCTGATAGCCCCCTTCCCTTTCCCTCCTCTGCGAAGGGTTGTATCTCTTTCACCCAGCCCCGGGCCCCCCCAAAAAAACATGTACAGGGCCAGAGCTGTTAGCTGAACTCCCAGGTCTCTGATCACTTCTTCCTTAGGTCTACAATTCACTGCTGGCTCATCCGAAGGGACTAATCCCTCCGTTTTAGACCTATCCACCTTCATCAGGGCCCCCAAGAGAATAGCAGCGTCATACTCATCTGTGACATCGAGCGGCGATCTGTTTGCCACTTCATGTGCTTACCATTCCTAAAAAGCCCTGACTATCAGGCACCGCATGAACAGATGTGGGATAGACACCACTTGCCCGCACTCTGCAGCGCATTCCTGGTCCTTGTCTTGGCTCACACTCACAAAGATATGCAGTTGCTCTCTCTCTCTCTCTCTCTCTCTCTCTCTCTCTCTCTCTCTCTCTCTCTCTGTGTGTGTCTGTCTGTCTGTCTGTCTGTCTGTCTGTCTGTCTGTCTGTCTATCTCTGTCTCTCTCTGTCTCTCTCTCTCTCTCTTCACACACACACACACACACACACACACACAAAGAAGCTATGGTGCCCGGCACTGTCTAACTACTCTCTATGACTGCCTCTCTCAATCTCACTCAACCCTTGGTAGCACAAGACTGCAGCAGCACTTCCGCAGCAAGCTCGAACGGAAATTGTGTTGACCTCTTGATGCCACTGGTACTTTGTTGCAGTTCCCGGTACAGGTACCTTCCTTTGCCAGCCATGGTTGGCCTTCGACGCATCCGGTTGTTTCTCTGACTTGCATGGGACTGAGCTTCCAACTGGGTAGGACTGACCCACTCACTGGAATGACTGAACCGACAGATCTACTGGGTCCTACAGGACCTACCGGACTTACCCTATCTACCCTACCGAATGGAAGGTACTGGGGTACATGGGACACTGGAACTTTGGGACCGGTATTGGGACTTCGAGGCTGAGACGTTTGAAATCCCTCTGTAATGGGTCTGCATATGGCAACTTCTTAGTATGCGACCATTTCTGGCTGAGACGATCTCTGCAGAAAGCGCTCCAACATCGTTCACGGCAGTGTCGGCAGGCAACAGGCTGTTAAGCGAAACAGTTCATGGAAATCGCACACACTGTGTAATAAGTTAATAACAGGTTGTCCGTATAGCTGGTACATAGAATAAGATAATAGATCCAGCAACAACGGGGGTATAGCTCAATTGGCACACACCCATGAGCTGTTGAAATACAAACCCGAGTTCGAATCCAGATGCAACAAGAGAATTGAGATGCAGCCAAACCCAATAACGTCAAGCATTGATATCCCTTGGGAGGAAGAGGAAGAACGAACCTGGCCTGTTTCTACGGGGAGGAGGGAGAGGCATGAGAACGAACCTGGCCTGTTTCTATGGGGAGGTGCAGCGGTTCATGATCAGAACACTCACCTGTGTCTTCTGAATGTGCTTGACTATCAACCTCTACTTCGCCGGTTTCTTCTTCTTTCTCTGCTTCTTGTTGTTTGTAATAGCCGTCCTCGTCGTCGCTGCCTTCATGATAATAAGAATCTTCGGCTCCGTCATCATGTGCATACTCATTGGCATCCGCCGGAACAGCATCCTCATCTTCCAATCGATATCCCACATCCTTCTCTGCGGCATCGTCCCGGCGCTCCTCCTCTTCCACAGCTGCAGCAGCTAGCCCAGAATCATGCTCACCGACCACTTCCTCTGGCTCAGCAATTTCGTCGTCCCGCTCCGCAACGTCTTCTTCATCCTGCTCACCAACCTCTTCGTCCTCCTCGCCAGAAGCCGATGGAACCGCCTTCTCGTCCCCGGCAGCAGCCTCCTGCTCCTCCTGTTTAGCCATTAATGTTTCTTCCGATACCGACTGCTCTTTCTTCTCTTGCTTCTCCCCGGGAGTTACCCTCTCTCCTGTCCAGCGAGAGGCAATCAGCCTGCCAATCTCTTCGTTCGAAAGCGCCGCCATTTCCTCCTCCGTCGCATCGCGGAGTGACTTCGCTTCCACCTGACTCACCCCAAGCAAAGACGACAAGGACGGAAAACAGGAAACGATAACATCATGTGAACCCAATGAGCAAATAGACATATGCGAGGAGCACACCTGACTCACCCAAACGAAAAGACGGCGAGGACGGAAAAAAACAAGAAATTGAAAGCACTTGGCCCAAAGGAGCAAATAGACATACGCCGCAAATGCACACTTTCAAACAACTCAAACACGGAGCACCGCCAGATTCGGTCGGTGAGAGTATGTGTGTTGTAAACTGTAAGCAGAACAGTCCCTTTTCCACCCAGATGAGTTGATCGGAAATTGAAACAGCTTTGCTACCTTTATATAGGAAACAACATGAAGCACACTGAAACCGTTATATTGCCTTTTTTTTTACGCCTCAATTATATTGCCTTTTCCTTGTGCAGTTCCTCCTCCTCCTCCTTTTTTTTTTTTTCCCCAACAGAAGTTACAGAACCCGTCTCCACTTCGGTCTTCAAAGTTTTTCTCATTTGAATGTTTGCTACTACCACCTAAACCCTAAACCGGAAAAAAAAGACGCCTTCCTTGTGTGTTTTCTTGAGATTTTCACCACGAGGCCACGACAGCCCCTGTTCCACCCAGATGAGTAAATCCAAAATCGATGCCGAAAAAAAAAATTAAAAAAATTGATGCAGCTTTACCTCTGTTGCAGATAATGAAACAGTTTTACCTCTGTGGAAACACTGCATCCAGTTCTCCTCGTTGCAGTTGCCGCATCGAATGGCGCGGTATAGACGGATGTCACAGGCAACATGGCTGCCGCAAGTTGGGAACACAGAGGCATGGCGACTGCAATTGTATAACCATTGCCTTTGACGTCCTCATCTAAAAATAGAACATATACCATGACAGGGCATCGTGTACACGAGGACGATGTTGACTGTCAGCATACGTATGAAACAAAGACTTGCATGGGCATTACCATCATAATCCTGGCAACGAAAAGCATGCCAAGCACATGATAGCCGAATTGCAGGTGGCAATCGCAGTGCAGCATTGAGCAAGGTACGCGGGGTTGTTCCGCAACGGATACCCTGTCTCCATGCGCAGGCAATGTGGGGGCTCCAACAGATACGCTGTCTCCATGCGCAGGGTATAATGAGCTGTTGCAAGATCTGGTCTGCAACTGCTCGCCCTGGCGGCATTTTACGCAGTCAGACCGGAAGTCCCGGTCCCAGAGTCCCAATTGATCCCGGTCCCGCTCTTTAGGTGGTTCTTGTTAGAGTCTGTTCTCCACATCAAGCTGCTGCAACTGCTCCCCATCTGTCGAGGATGGGGGGCTTCCGTTTACAGGTGCAGCCGTACGATGCCCTCCATTACATGTGCGGGACGTGAACGGAGAGGATGTGGCGGGTGATGGCATCGGGGATAGTTCGCACGGAGAGAGACTCTCTCTACAATAACCTCCTGAAAACACTGATGACACGTGGCATGTTGCCCACAGGCTAGCAGGACAGCTGGCTCACATTCACAGTTACCCAAGCACGGCATGTGAAGGCCGCAACGACATATCGGGCGAGTGATACGGCAACGTGCATGGCGTATATCTTGTTGCGTCTAAAAAATTAATAATATCCGATTGCGAATCTGGGAAATTCTGCTAATGCGCCTCGATCCAGAGAGGGATATGAGTGCAAGACAGAGGCTCGCAATGACCCATCCCTTTGTAGTGTTCAAAGCAGAGATTATGTCGCACACATCCTGACTGGACTGTGCGTGTATGGAAACACAATGGCATGACGGCAGAGATCGTCGTCCGAAGAGCCTCCCTCATCATCAGCGGCAGAATCCGTCTGATCTGGACAGACAAGAGACACTGCATGGTCTGTTTCAGGGGAGGGGAGGGGGCACCCAGGGGGGGGCGGGGGGGGCGGGGGGGGCAGGCTTGGCCGGATTGTTCTCTGGAATCTGTGGAGCTTGCGAGTGGATATCGGCATACTGTTCCTGAGTGAAAAGCCAGTCCAAGTGCCATTCTGCCACTCATTGACAGTATGGGGTAATATGACCCAGCCAGCGAGTGCACCCTGGCGCCATTATCCCACAGGGTCCGTGAATGAGCATGTCTGTGCGTGTGCCCAACGAGTGCACCCTAGCACCATTATCCCAGAGGGTCCATGAATGAGCATGCATGTGTGTGTGCTGTCATCTTCGCTATACACAACACCACAAAGAAAAGCACGACTGTGCTAGACTGCGTTGTCCAACTTCCGCCAACACATCAGGAGGCTGAAGGCCGACGGTCTCTCCAGAATGCATTTGACTTTGTGTGTGTGTGTGTGTGTGTGTGTGTGTGTGTGTGTGTGTGTGTG